GAATGGTTGGGAGGGATTGTTGGAGGGCTCTTTGGGTTGACTTTGCACCCTGGAAAAGTGTAGCTCTGGTCAGAAAATGTACATCAATGGTAATCAAAGAAAATCTGTCCATTAGAAGGCAATACGGATATAACATTTGTTCATGGCACTGTTTGTATTTCCTGGCTGGGAAAGCTTTTGGAGGTCTCTTTGGGTTTACTAGGTACCCAGGAGACATGTAATGTGTTAATGTAAAATTAGATGTTATCAGCATGGGTAATCACAGTGAATCAGCCCATTAGAAGTTAATACAGCTATATAATTGTTCATGGCAAGGTATGTGTTGGAGGGATTGTTGGAGGTCTCTTTGGGTTTACTTTGCACCCAGAAGTGAAACTGTGGTCAATAAAAGTATGCGTACAGTATTATCAGCATGGGTAATCAAAGTGAATCAGCCCATTAGAAGGTAGTACAGATATAATATTGTTCATGGCAAAGTTTGTATTGGATAAATGGGGGTGGGGTGAGGTAGAGGTCTCTTTATGTTTACTTGGCACCCAGAAGAAATGTAACTGTGGTCAATAAAAGTATACATATTATCATCATGGGTAATCAAAGTGAATCAGCCCATCAGAAGGTAATACAGATTTAATATTGTTCATGGCAAGGTTTATATTGGATGGCTGGAGGGATTGCTGGAGGGATTGCTGGAGGTCTCTTTGGGTTTACAAGGCACCCAGGAGAAGTGTAACTGTGGTCAATAAAATTGAATGTTATCAATGTACAAATTACACTTTATTCTCAAATCCTTATTTGAAATGCATAACTTTCTCACATTAAATAAAGCTAATGTTTCTATTAGATGGCTGGGAGGAATTTTTGGAGGTCTTGGGTTAACTGGGCACCTAGGAGAGGTGTATCTATGATCAATACCAAATATACAGAACATGTCATCGGAAAGGGTAATCAAAGTGGATCAGCCCATTAGGAGGTAATACAGAGATAACATTGTTCATTGTAAGGTTTGTATTGGATGGCTTGTTGGAGGTCTCCTTTGGGTTAACTGGGCAACCAGAAGTGTAAATTAATTGAAAAAATATATATGTCATTAAAAAGGGTAATCAAAGTGAATCAGCCCATTAGATGTTAAAACACATATAACATTGTTCATGGCAAGGTTAGTATTGGATGGCTGGGAGAGACGGTTTGAGGTCTATTTGGGTTTACTTGATGACCAGGAGAAGAATAACTGTGGTTAATAAAAAATATACATTTTATCCATGTATAAATTGCCCTTGATTTCTTGTTCCTTGTTTGGTTTGCAGAATTTTCTCAAGCAGGATCCTGAGTCATCACTGGTCCTCTGTGACACATGATGATGATGAGTGATAGATGTCATACATTTACTCATGCCTAAGCAGCTGAATATATATATATATATATATATATAGAAATGGAAATCCCACCTTGAGCAGATTCTGATCGTTTTTCATTAACATGCAATACTTTTACAATAGACAGTAATGAAAAGTAACCTGTATAATGGATTTCAAACAGTAAATGTGCATATTGCAATATCCCCAAGCAACTGAGTTCAGTTTCCTAACATCCCAGGAAAAGATCATTTCTGATTTGTTGCTTGGGGCTCCAGCACATTGCATAACATATATGCTGTTTTCTTTTGTTTTATGAAATCATTCCATAAAGTCAAAACTATTGACATATCCTTCATTGCTCAGCAATGTAAGTTGACTATTGCAAATAAAGTGGTTTTGATTTTTTTTTGAAGCCTTCAGATAGTCTTTTAATGAAGAGCCCAGTTAGCTCTTTTGAGACGCAAATACTTTCTTTACCATTACTTTGGGGCTGAGTAGGTGAAATCTAAGACTTGCCAATCTAGATGTCACACCAACTCTCAGAAAGCAGCAGAAATATATATTTACTTTTTTACCATTTATTTATTCATAATAATTTGTGCTTCATCCTGGTATGTATACCTCTGGAATTGGAGCAATAGGTCATATAGACAGACAAGAGTCTCCACATTATGCAATGTGTGTGTCAGATCAGTTGCCTAGGTATCTTTCTTCCATCACCTTTGAAAGCTTTTAGTGAACATATGTTTTTCGTGATTACATTTTTTTTAAAGCTAGCTTTAACATTTAGCATTGCATGTCAACTCATTAATTTATGACTTAAATCTGACTTCAGGTTTGGTAAGCCCCATTGCTCTTTGCCTGTTTTCACTTTGTAGAAAGAGAAAATGAATTTTTGATGAAGAGGGTCTTGTGTCAAACGTCCAGCGGAGTGATGGAGCAGTGCTTTGCCAAATTCTCAGGAGACTGTAATCTTCATATAGATTTGTGGAACGGTTCCTATTGCAGTCAGAGGCAGTCAAGAGGTCATCATATAAATGGCAAGAGCAATGCTGTGCAGTTGTGAATAGCAACCGGTTCAGTGTGAGCAGGCAAGTGAAAGATACTTGGTTGGTTGCTGTGGGTTTTGGAACTTTTTTGAACCGCGTTGCTTTTTTTTTTTATTTTTGTCTTATTCCAGTGTCATTTCTATTTTAGCTTTTGGTAGATGCTGGTTAAACCATCTGACAGTTTCCTATGTCTCTCAGCAACTGTGGGTGAAATCTCTGCTCTTGAATACCTGCGTACCTGCTGTGCCCATTATGAGGGATTCCCACTCTCCCTGCTGGATATTTTTCATTTTATATTACGGAGAATGTGAGAGGAGGTGTTGGAGCGTGCAAAGGTGGGTGGGAACACCCAAAACACCTAGGGGGTTAGGAACAGAGAGTTGGGAATTATAGGATGATGATCTTGCTGTTAAATTATGCAAGAAAAAAAAGCCAGGGGCTGACTCAGCCCACCAAGCTTTGTCTATAACTAAAATGATTACTTTTGAAGAGAAGACCCTTTAATTAAAGGGTTAAATATTGGTTGAGTACTTTAGCTGTAGGTCTACTTATTTTATTCTGTAACCTAAAAAGCAGGATATATATACTGTATATATATATATATATATATACATATATAAATTATTATTGTGAACAGCTCCTGTGTCTTTTTAATACTTCATGGAGTTCTGAATTCAGTCTGATTTCACTTGCTGCATCATTTGTTCTGGATCAATAGCTAAGAAGTCTTATAAATGTATATCAAGCCAAAATTGTATTTAACAGTATTCCTGGCATAATGCCTTACTGTATACCAATGTTTGTGTGTGAATCATTTGCAGTTTCTTACCTGGAGATCCTGCCAGTAACAACACTTTCTGTTAGAGGTTGACAATACTAAAGCCACTGCCTTGCCATTTAGTAACAATACACCTTTTGAAGACACCTGCAGTCTAGCGTTCTTCCTGTAACATTTTGCGGTTGTACTTGTTACAATTAAAATTTTCCATATAAGCTCGACAATAATGCTGACATTTCTTTACTTAAGACATAATATTTCATCTACTTAAAGCATCACTCTAACTCTTATCACAATGCAAGCATAATGAATACAGAAATGGTATACCTGAATCAATAGCCCTAGCGCATATTCCCACAGCATTGTCAGTCTACCATGTGTGATTCTTCAGTTTGCCATTGTACTGCTTATTAGGTCTATCAGATATATGGAACTACATACAACTAAGTATGCATGGAATGGAAATGCATGGAATGCTAGAGGGACTGGGTAAAACAGCTTTTACTTACCCGATACTCTGCTCGTGCAGGTTCCTCTGTACTGCTAGACTAGTCCCTGCAACCACTTCTCCCCTGTACTCCCTGGTCAAATGACCCTGACATCATCAAGACCAATGCAGGGACCATAACCTTGTACTGGACAGAAGGACACCGAGGGACAGTCCATTGTTGGAGCATGGGGGAGTACCACCTGCTGGGGGAGTGGAGGATCAGGTAAATAAATGCTTTTCTCGTCCCTTAGACATAAATGAGCAGTTAACCCTTGCAGTGCAGAGGCAGAATTCAGTAAAGCAGAGTGCAAAGCAACCAATATACAGTCATCTGTCATCATTTTGACAATTCTTAAGTGGTAAAGGTGAAAAGTGATTGGCTGCTCTGGGTTACTGCACGTTACATGTCAGCATTACACTGCTGTAGTAAATCAGCAAAGACTTCTCTTATAGTCAGGAGTCCCAGCTTTGTGGAGTTTTGTGTGTTACTCTCCAGCTTTTGATCATATGCTGGGAGCTGTCTGTGGCACTTGTGTTTGTATGTTTGGTGTATCACTAATGATGACAAGTCCATGTTAGCTCTTATGACAGTTAGAAAGCTGCCATGGGTCTTGTGTACTTTATGATGTAACCATTATATTTGTTTCTGTCATATTAACAATGGCACAGATACAATCACAATAGCTGATGAGATACATTTCCCTGTGAGTGATGGGGAGCATGCAAAGTATAAAAGAAGCATGTTTTCTGTACTAATGAATGAATTGTATCTGGAGATGTATGGTGACACAGGTGCAGGAAAATACAACATTATTGTAATGATATGGAGGAATATTGTTTAGATCTTCTCCCCCTGCCTCCCAATATACATCCATATTCCTCTGTCCACGTTATCCTCTAATGTGTTGTATACTGAAGGGCCACTCCAATCCACATTACGTCAAATGCCACGTGCAAGAAAATGACAGCCTAATGGCCAAAATTAGACAAACAATTCTCTAGTGTAGAAAAAGTCATTTGCACTGAGGACTTGTATACCAGAATGTTTGATCCCTCTATATAAAAATTGAAATGTTTTGAGCCACCAAACAATGGAGTACTCTATGCTAAAATAGCATGCTTGGTGGCTCTAAAGATTGCAATGTCGTATGGAGGAGTGTGCTCTTTCAAGTGTTACTAAACCCACAACGGTAAAATCAGTCTGTATATGCAGTAAAGCATGCTTGTTATACTCACTGTGGAACCTAAAGGTTTAATTCTCTGCATTGTGTAAAAAGGCTGTTTGATCCTGTCTTCTCTGCTCCTCCCCTTCTTCTACTGTCCCCAATTTACCTGCTGATAGGACAGAGCCTTGGGGGCAAGCTGAACATGCTCAGTTTAGTGTATATTGCTAGAAAATTTTTTTCTTTGGGGTGGGGGCAGGTTATCAGCATAGAGTCAATCAGCATTGTCCAGACAGAGAGTCAGGGGTCCTGCAGCCTCAAAGGACAATCAGGATAATGAAAACTCCTCCTACAAGCGTTTACCAGTGCTCTGCTGGACACTGTTAGAAGTCACACGACTGCTCTAACTGCTGATGAGAAAAAGTATTTAGCAGTTTATACTAACTATAATAATTGTATTTCCATGTTCTGTGTACTGTGGGAGACCAGATATAGTGAATGCAGGGTCCGGGGAGACCAGATATAGTGAATGCAGGGTCCAGGGGAGACCAGATATAGTAAATGCAGGGTCTGGGGAGACCAGATATAGTGAATGCAGGGTCCGGGGAGAGACCAGATATAGTGAATGCAGGGTCCGGGGAGACCAGATATAGTGAATGCAGGGTCCGGGGAGACCAGATATAGTGAATGCAGGGTCCGGGGAGACCAGATATAGTGAATGCAGGGTCCTGGGAGACCAAATATAGTGAATGCTGGGACCTGGGAGACCAGATATAGTGAATGCAGGGTCCGGGGAGACCAGATATAGTGAATGCAGGGTCCAGGGAGACCAGATATAGTGAATGCAGGGTCCTGGGAGACCAGATATAGTGAATGCAGGGTCCGGGGAGACCAGATATAGTGAATGCCGGGACCTGGGTTTAGTAGCACATTAACTTGCCTGCTGTCTGCATGTCCTGCACTTTAATAAGAGTGTAATGGATTGGAATTCTGGCATATGTGCCAACCACTTCTTCCTACACTCTGCTATATTCTCTTTCTGTCATCTTTTTCTCTTTGGTTTATTTATTTTTTGTTTCTTTTTTTTTCTCTCTCCACCTTTTTTCTACTTTCCTTCTCCTACATGACTTTATGTTCTTTCTTCCTTCCACCCATTTTATTTTATTTTCCTTCCTTCTCTTCCCTTTTTACTTTTCTTCCATTATCTTTTTGTCACCTTTTCCCCTCTGGTTTACTTCTGTTTCTTTCTCTCTCTCTACCTTTCCTATGTTTTCTTTCTCCTACATGACTTTACGGTCTTCTTCCTGACTTCCTTCCACTTGTAGCACTACCCTCTCAGGGGTAGCTGAGTCATTTTTGGGTTCCCTGCCTGGCCTGGCCCCACTCTGAAAGCCCAACCCCCTGCTGACACCACCTTAAACCTCCAGTCAGAGGGACCCATTGACTACAACCACAAATTAGACTCACAGACAGTTTGGAATGAACTGATATCTCGGCTGTACTGAGATTAAATATAAGCACAGTAAAACAACAGAAATGTTTGTGCATGAAATAATAACTATCACTTGGAGTCATTTCAAACAAAAAAAATCAAACACAGCAAAATCTCAATCTGTTATGGGTGTCCTGCAATTCAAAATTTATCCAGTAACCCCAGTCCTGAGATGTCTTTCCCCTGTGAGCAAGAAAAAAACTACCAAGCAGAGCAACTAGCTCACGTAGGGCTCTCAGAAGTAGATGACAGGGTTCAATTCTGAGGTTAAGAAAAAAAACTCTAGGATCAATGAGTTCAATGTTCCTTTAAACTGCAGTATAAGATCTTCTGTGCATTTGATGGGGCCCGAGGTGGTGCACTTTAAGAATTAAAATCCCTCTGGTAGCAAATGTAGAAGTTCCTTAATAAGGTGTGAATACAAAGGAAAGGAGCTGTCCCATTAAGTGGTAGGTAGCCTGGATGGTACCCCTTTAACATACACAGGGTAAAATGTAAATTTAGGCAGGGATTAAAGAATGAGCAGAAGCCCTTGTGTAGGAATGAATTCCTTTTGCTACTCCAGTAGAAAACAGCAGCAATGCAGGAACTCTTTGGTGAATGTGGGCTGACTCTAATGGAAGCAATGATGTGGCTTAACTTGCAGAGGGCAAGACATGGCAGTGGGCTCCTGTGATTGGATTATGTTGAGTGTGTTGTAACCGGTAGGCGGGGTGAACTAGGCTTTAACATGTGTAAGTTGTGAAGAGTCAGCTAAATTTAGGCAGAAAGCAGCAGACTTGACTAATGTTATTGACAATTTGAATAGCTTGAGAATGGAACTCTCTCCCCAGATCCATGGCTCCGGTCTGGTAGCTGATGGTCTCTCTGTAGATGAGGTCCCCAAGTATTTCTGCACGTCCTCCTTCAGAGATCACTCCCCGGACTCGTCAGCAGTGTCAGCAGTCAGCAACTTCTTCTTCTCCCTTCTCTCTCTCTCTGCGACCTAGTCTGGCCCGGTCCTCCGGAGTCCCACACGGACCTCTCCTCCACACCTATTCTCTAGCTCTCCTCCTTCAGTTCCTGTCAATTGGTTCCCAGGCTCATGTATTTATCTGCCCAGTAGTTAGCTCTTCTGGAAAATGTAGTTTAATAGCTCCCTGTCAAACAGTGAAATCCTGCAATTCAGTCTTTCTTCTTTCTTTCTTTCTTTCTTTCTTTCTTTCTTTCTTTCTTTCTTTCTTTCTTTCTTTCTTTTTCTTTCTTTCTTTCTTTCTTTCTTTCTTTTTCTTTCTTTCTTTTCCCTTCCTTCCTTCTTTCACTTCCTCCTTTCCTTCCCTTTTTACTTTCCTTCCTCTACCCCATTTCCTTCCTTCCATCCTTCTTTTCTATGTTCCATCACCCCTTACCCTTCCCTTCACCTCTCTTATTCCTCCCTCCCTTTTTCACACTCCCTCCTTCCCTCCCCATTTCTTCCTTAGTTGTTTGCTGCCTTTCTCTCTGCTTTCTTTTCTCCCTCCCTTCCATCATTCCTCCCTCCCCCTTCCTTCTCTCTTTCATGCCTTTCTTTTTTCTCTCCTCTCTTCCCTTCCTCCCCCTGACTATAGCTCTCTTTACCCCCTTCCTCCCTATTTTCTGATTTAGATACAATACTGGTCATGGGGCAAACATTGTTCCTGAGTGATTGTGCAGCAATACTAGATGTCACCTGCAGGTGGAGGTGCAGGTGAAATTTGTTAATCCCGTTTCCCAGAAAATCCAGGCAAAGCCTACAAACTGGATTCTTCCTTATAACCACAAATCTGCTTTGTAATTGGTTGCTTTGCATTGCTGCACTTCTTAACTGTTTCCGCTGTGTTATTAACTAAAGCCTTTGTAATTACTGTTGTACATTTTGCCATTGTGTTACCTGGTACATCATTTAGAATCACCAGGAAAGGATTTCTGCCGTGTGATTTGGCTTCTGAAGCTTTTATGAATTCACGCTATGCATTTGTTTAATCTGGCGGATCAGGCCTGCTCGGCAGTCTTTTCCGTAGTCACAGCAGAGGATGAATAGTGCAAAGTGTTTTAGGTCATTTATAAGCACTTGACTTGGAAAACCATTTTGTGACTTCTAGGTGCTTAATTGATTACAGCAGCTGTACCCGGGCTTAGTAATAAATAAAAGATTCTGCTTTCTATTCCCATCGCTTCCTGCTAAAATATTTGTGCCTAAATGTGTGTTTGCTGGGTGAAGTGGATTTACATGTATTGAATGAAAATCACGAACCAGATAGGACTGAATGCTGAATACAGGTATACAGCTCTTATTCAGTGTCTATACACTCCTCTGTCAGATTTTCTGGATTCTGAATAGCAATGTCTCAAAAAGTCAAAACAATCCCTGGACTCCCAGAAGACGCTGCCTTCCCTGCCTGTGCTAGACAGACATGTATGTGCCAGGGTCCACTGAAGTGAAACATGCAGAGAGAAGGGGAGGGCAGAGAGCAGAGGAAGAGTCTGATACTGAGAGCTTCAAGGCGGTGTCATCCGTTCTGACATCCCTCCCATACAGGCAGATTTGAAATTTTTGATCTTCATCAGATGGCTGTCAAAAGAAATTGTACAAAGTTATTCAACGTTATTCAGCATGTGCATTTAGTTTACAACAAATACATTATAAATCAGATTTCACAATGTAGTCAGCGTTTTGCCCTGGTCTGACTTTGTATAAATTGTAATATAAATCAGCAAAGATTTAAACATATAGGGGCTCATCCTGTGAAACTGCATATGCATTAGTTCTGAATGAATGAGGGCAAGAACAATTTCTTCATAGAGGTGAATCAGGAAATTACCACATTATAGCCACTAAATGGAGCTGATGATATTCATCTATCTATCTCTCTCTCTCTCTCTACTATCTCTCTATCTCTATCTATCTATATATACATACACTATATTGCCAAAAGTATACAGACGCCCCTCCATATCACTGGATTCAGGTGTTCCAATCACCTCCATGGCCACATGTGTATAAAATCAAGCACCTAGGCATGCAGACTGCTTCTACAGACATTTGTGAAAGAATGGGTCGCTCTCAGGAGCTCAGTGAAGTCAAGCGTGGTCCCGTGATAGGTTGGCACCTGTGCAATATGTCCATCCATGAACTTTCTCTGCTACTAAATATTCCACGGTCAACTGTTAGTGGTATTATAACAAAGTGGAAGCAACTGGGAACAACAGCAACTCAGCCACAAAGTGGTAGGCCAGGTAAAATGACAGATTTGGGCAGGGCATGCTGAAGCGCAGAGTGCGCTGTCTGCAGAGTCACTAGCTAAAGACCTCCAAACTTTGTGTGGCCTTCAGATGGGCCCAACAACAGTGCGTAGAGATCTTCATGGAATGCGTTTCCATGGCCGAGCAGCTGCATCAAAGCCTTACATCACCAAGTGCAATGCAAAGTGGCAGATGCAGTGGTGTAAAGCATGCCGCCACTGGACTCTAGAGCAGTGGAGATGTGTTCTCTGGAGTGAGGAATCACATTTCTCTATCTGGCCATCCAATGGACATGTCTGGGTTTGGCAGTTGCCAGGAGAACGGTACTTGCCTGACTGCACTGTGCCAAGTGTAAAGTTTGGTGTCGGGGGGGGGGGGGGATTATGGTGTGGGGTTGTTTTTCTTTTACAATGAATTTTATTGCAGAATAAATAACATCAGAGAATCAGTCAAAAACAGATGCACTGACCAACAGGAATAAAACATACAAGTTTTCTGATGAATAATACAGAGTATGCACTGATGGATAAACAAGAAAATAAACTTAGTACACAAGTGCCGTATATAAAAAGGGTAAACAAAACAATACGTTGCAAAAATGGTAGACATTTGGAGACCAATGAGATAATAAACTAAAAGAAAAGATTATCACTAAATCTGCATACAGAAGGCAGGGAAGATGGAATATGGAGCCGAATGCTTATTGGTACTCTATACTCAGGACTCCCGATGGAGTCCAGCATGTTGATATAGTATTGCTGGTACGGCACTTAAGACAACAATTACAATCAGCACAAATATCATAAGAACAGGCTAAGAAGAAGGAAAGAGAGGAACTAAGAGAAAGGAGACAAAGGATAAAAAACAAAGAACAAAGAAAGGGCTCCAGGGTGACCGCGACGGAAAAAGAGAAAATAATAAGTAAATCTTATATCGACAAAAAGGACTGGGCAAATCTCGACGGTTGGGCTTTAT